AAGTTGAGGGGGAGCGGAAATTTGATACCAACAGAAGCCGTTTTCTTGACATAATGAAACAAAAGTTCTTGCCTTTCCTTATTTATTAAATTAACTATTGAAAAGCCTGCAGAAAAAAAAAGTGTTCGTTTTTTTCCTGTTCTCCAATATCTGTTCTGCAAACAACATGAAAGTCCTCTCAGATGTAATGTAAATGCTTATGTGTGTAAACACAAAAGGTTTAAAATTAGCATGGCAAATGTACAAAACACGTAAATCCTATTGTTTGAGCCTTTTGTCATAATGTTATGAACATCTGCCTTTGTATTAAAGAAATGTAGTATTTCCATAGGCATGTGTATACAGTTTTAAACTGTTCCTACAGTCAAACCCACTTTTAACAACAAAACACAAAAAGTTGTTCAGAAGGTCTTTAAGGTCTAGCTCTCCCTCTGGCATCACAAGTACTCAACTGGCCCTAGAAAGTCACAGTACACTGAATGTTTAGGGGCTTGCATGCAGGACAGGCTAAGTCTAAAACAGGCTTGCCCTCGCGTGCTTCAGCTTTCAAAGGAATAGGAATCCCATTCATAAAGTGACTGCCTATTTCTGGTGTAACTGAAACCTGGTCTTTGTATACCTGAAGGAAACAATTTAGAAGTAAACCTTTTGACCTCTGTTTTAAGAGTTGGTTTGTCAGCAAAGTTTAAACTTTTCAAGACTCGAAGCTTAAGAAAAAGCCAAACTCATAAAATAAACTAGTTTCTTGAATAATAAAACTAGGTACATCTGTCACTCCTCTATCTTGTGAAAGCACTTTTCAAGTGGTAAAAGTCAGTTTTGATAGATACAATCCACAAGAGAATGTAGGCTGGGAGGTCAGAAAAAGAAAGGCATTCAAGATATACAGAAAACTGTTACAGAAAAGCTATGAAAACACAACCTCGCCAACCTTATCTTTGACACGAAGCCCTGAAGACTCTAATACTGTCCCCTCTGCTTTTTCGTAAAAGGTCTTTCAACACAGTTTGTAGTGAACCTGGTGGGGGATTGTTATTTCGTTGGCAATGCTGACAGATTTCTTCCATGGACCATCACATATTTCAACATCCAAAAATAAGTTGTAAAAGTCAGGGTAAGCTCTAATCCATATATTATTCTTTATATTAAAAAGAAATCTCCATCAAACAATCTGGCCAAATACATACACATAAGAAAACATAATAAACTACGATTTTTATAGAAAATTGTTGATTACGGTTTTGCAAACTCTGTCTAATGAAAAATGATTCTTCAGGCAGAATGACAATGACCTCAGCCACAGAAAAATAGAAATGGAAAATATATAATGCCAGGACAATGCTGCATGTATTTTAAATACATGTTTACATAAACATGTTTAAATAATTGTATACCTTCAATTACATACTTGTTCTAACACCCACAGCAAGTATTTGCATTTTACAACCAAGCCCAAAAAAATAGTTAATTGTGTTTGGTTTACTAACTTACTAAAGTTATAGTCATGCAAAGAAGAAGGCAAAACTATACCTTTGTTGCTTCTGTATTAAATAAGCAGTCATCTTATGAAAAGTACAGGCATTTCTGCTATAACTTGATAGTGTTCCTGGAAAACACTGCATTATAGAAAATTTGATTATAGAAACCATTGGTTCAATGCGAATTATGAAGTTAGGGGACAGAATCTGGAATCATAATAACAAAGGTATTTTTTCTATAGTAATTGGTCACACTATTAGTTTGAAAGCATTACTTCTGCATAATGTGTTTTTGTGATTATTTAAGACAGAAAACAGTAGAAAAATAGATAAATAAGGCATAATACGTGTCCAGGGTTAAATCGTCAAATGATGACAAGTTCTGCAGTGGAGGAGGGCGAAAATACATTTTTTCATAAGAAACTTTCTTAGCAATACATTCTACTAAGCCCAATAGCACAAATTATATCACATGGTTTTTCATTTCTCATTATTTCATTTTATTACATTATTTTATAACATCAAGATTCTGTTCCAGAGTAATTGTACTTGTACTACACAGACTAGCAGATAGCTTCTGCCCTTGCCACTCATTGTAACAGTTATATTTCTATCAATCTTTCCAAAGAATGATACAGATTTTTAATTTAGGTGCATATTCAGATTAGACGAAGACTGATGTAAATATGTCAGAGAATACACCAGCATTCCCAAGCATGTGTGGCTATGCTGAAGCTGCCATGCAACTGCTTTTACTGAACTCGTCCTGCTATATAGTACTTGAGTCGCATTATAACCACCATGCACCCACGTTATAGATATAGCGTTCCCTAATAAATCAATTGCGTTATAGCCAATTTTTGCTATGGAAACGTGCGTTATAACAGAAATACCTGTACTTAACTTTGCATGATAACCAACATTCACGTGTTATGGATAAGCATCCCCTTATAGAGCAATTGTGTTATAGCCAATTTGCATCATGTTACAGAAGAAATGTCTATGATCTAGCTAAAAATGTAACTATTTAAAAATGCATCATTCTACTGGACTGTTACATCAAATATCCTGTATGTTGAATTTCAGCTTTTTTATTTTTTAAGACAACATACCTCATCATGGTTTACTTCTTCAAAAGTCCATATATGAATTACAAAAAGACAACAAGAGGACATATTATTTTATATCAATAAGACCTTTGAAATGTTTATGCTTCCTATTATTTGAGTTCTCAAAAAAGTGGGAAAAAAACACTGTTTTATCTAAATCTGCCGTCTAAAAATTACACACATCCTATATTTATCCTCCTGACCACGGAGCAAAAGAGAGAATAGCTGGAATTTGAAGTTGGTAAGCAAGTGGGAAGAAAAGGCCTGAAGCAATCCAATTTCTTTCGGCATCTCAAGTCAAGCTTCAAACAAAAGCTACACTCGCAGCCTTTTAAAAGGTGCCAGTAACCTTTTTTTAATTCAATTTAAAAAATGCATTAAAAACTTATTACAAACAGGATGCTGTTAAATGAGGCATGTTTATTTTCAGATATTATTTTAATGTACTGGTGTCGTGATTAGATGTCTGGTTCAGTGAGTTGAAAGACGGGACACGGATGTAGGAAAATGTACAGGAAAGCTTTTTTAATGCTTTGCAATGACAAGTGACCATTTTATATTTTCTTCAGTAAACACCGCTATTCACTGTATCAAACTGCTTTTTATTGAGTTACAAATTAAATATAGAGGGTCATACAGAAGGTTATGTATTGTAGCAAAGTGAAAGGCATACACTATGCTATGTGAAGGCAGTAACAATGTACACAGAAACCTTAGCTCTTATATTTGGTGAAGATATGTAGGTTAATTGACAATACTGTAGTTACACCTCCAAAATCATTTTAGTGCTCTACCATTACCTACACAGAACTGTGATTTGCAGCTTGAAATAATATTTTGTGAAGCCATTTATAAATAAGCATTATAAAAACAAAATACTTTGCTGATCAAGGAAATATTTTCTCCAGTACAATAAGTCTAATTCACAGCAGAAACCATCTCGTATGGATGTAGCCCATGCAATTTAGCAGATTCCACATCACCCCCACTCTATCATCATTATTTTGTACTTACTGAAAAGAGAAAAAAGGGGGCTGAGAAAACAGTCAGAGGACTGTGCAACACTAGAATGGTTCTATGCTGTCAACACAGCCACAAGATACCTACCTGGGTGTTTGATTATTGCTTTTCATAGGACATGCATCATGAAAAAGATATGCAGTCAAATAATAAAGATTTCTATACAGATTACTTCTCCAACCTACGTAAGCTTTTCAAAGAGATCCACTCTGAATATTTCCTTTTTCAATAATAAATTGTGATTTTTTATATATCTGCTTATGCCTTATACTTCTCTGTGCTTGGAACACAATTATTTCAGTCTGTAACCTTATAAAATCTTAATTGCTTTTTTCCTAGAACTCTGGTATTATCTTTATAGCCACCACTGTTTTCAAAATGGTGGAATTTTCACTAACATTATTCATAACACCTGACAGAGTAAGTTCAATTTTCTTTATCCCTTCACCACAGCCGAAAACAATATACAAATAACCAAGAAAGCCTGTTATCATTTGGGAGAAGGCAACATACCCTGTGATTAAACCTTAAGTCTGTAATATTGCCAGAAAGAAAGACTGATAAAGAGGTGAGGTACAATATTACTGTCATTATCCACACTTACAAACATCCACGGATTTTGTAAGGAGTATATTGGTACCACATCCAACTGCATGTTATGTCTGTGTTGATAATTACAAGACACATTTATCCATGAAACATAACCAGTTTATAATTTAGAAAAAAAAAGTTTTGAAACCTGGAATTACCAAGTGTTTTATCAAGTTTTAGTTTTGATTTCACTGCTAAACGTAAAAAAAAAGATTTCTATCTAAGGCCACCAAGGACAATAAAGGTACACAAGCATAAAATCTCTAACGAATCACTATTTATCATCTAATGAAACCACACAAGATTATCTCTGTCCTTAGAGGCAACAAGTCTTCAATCCTACACCCTCTTCTGTAATGAATACAAGAGTGTAAAGGCTGTTTGGGCAAAACTAAAATCCCTGTGAGAAAGAAACCCCCAAGGAAATACTCTTGTTTATCGCTTTCTAGTATACAGAAGATATACTTTCTATGTGGATTCAAAAGTATAATTTCTTTTTTATCAACACTGACATACAATTGGGATTAGTTGTTTTATTCAAACCCTTAAAAAAGTTTGAATAATAAAAACATAAAAAGTGTTATTGGAACACCTTGAAGCCACAACAAAATATAATTATTTGAAAAAGGGCATTAAATATTTTTTTATATTATAATTAAAATATTTTAAAAACTACTTTGCGAGTAGCAAATTCTCTTCAACTCGCATTCAGAGCTAATTGTAAAAAAGAATAACAAGAGGGAAATCTGAAATGATGACAATAAAAAACTGAATAATGGCAGTAATAATAATTAATACTTACCTTCTGAACATTGCAGATGAACCACTGCAAAAACCAGCCACCAGAATGTAGGTCGTTTCCAAACAGAACATGCCATTGCGTTTCCCTTGGATGGTTTCCACATGCTTGGGAATGATTGTAGTTATAAAAGTCCAGCTTTGCCGATTTTATTAAACTTCATCATTGAGCTCCTTGCCTGAAAAGCAATCAACAATTCAGGTCATTCATAATACAGAAATTGTAGAAATAAGTTTATACAATTTCTACCTTATTTAGTCCAAATGATTGAGAACTGAATACGATTTCAGTTAAAGACGGGATTATTTACTATTGATGCATAATGTTCCTGATTTTTAGAAATGCACGAAAGAAAACGTCCCGGTTGGTAAGCTGCAAAAATGCCTGAA